ACCAAAATTTTTTTTGGGCGAGTGCAACGAAACGTAACCAGAAAAGTAAACTATTTTCTCTTAATCGACGTAACCACAAAAGCCTGTCTTCATTATTTCAGCAAAACAAAAGCAGTTCAAATGGCCCGTTTATATGACGTCAGAATCATTTGATCAACGCTTTACAAGTATTTTGCGGCCTTCCATATAAAATCTCTCGAAGTGTCTTTTAAATTTCTTTATGGTCTTCTGGATATATAAGCCTCCTCTGAAGTTAGCCGCGAATTGTTGACACCTATGTGGAGCGAAAGGAGTTAGAAAGATAATTTTGATTAAAGGGTCAAAGCACATCAAAAGTGTCATTTTGCAGCGCCAGATTATGGACGAAAAACCGCAACAAAGCGGTTTTCAGTCCAAAAATTTGCATAGTACCTGCAGGGTGCCTGCTGCTATTTAGGGACGTGATTAATGTGGATTGCGACGAATACATACATACATACATACATACATACATACATACATACTTTATTTATTCCAGAAGCAGACTATGTGTACACTAAGAGGAAATGGAAAATATGCTTCCAGAAAAGGAAGTTAAGAGGTTATCCCTATGTGAAAACTCCCTAAAAAATAAGTCTAAATGAAAATAAAATACTTAGTTATAATTAAATATTTAAATACAATTTAAGCTGAGATTTAAAATGCTGAAGATTATCAGCTTCCACTATGTTTCTTGGTAATTCATTCCATAATTTAACAATCCTAATGAAGAACGAATGTTTATAACAATTAAGTCTTGCTGGTTTGACGTAAAGTTTGTACTGATGATTTGCTCTCGTACATCTAGTTGTGGCAAAATCAAAAAAGGTTCCAAAATCTAAATGGTAAAAACCAAAAACAATTTTATAACACTCAATTAAAGATAGATAAGTTCTACGGTCGGAAAGAGTAGGCCATTTTAGCAATTTGCATCGGTCTTCGTAGGACATGTCTCCTTTGCGTTGATTTAAAGCAAGTCTTGAAGCTCTTCGCTGTACATTCTCAAGAGCATGGATGTCCTTGACGAGGTAAGGACACCAGACAGGTACCACATATTCCAAAATTGGCCGTACAAGAGATTTGTAGAGCATAGAAAAAATATTTGCATTAGCGGTGCCTATCGAGCGTTTAATAGAACCTAGGACTTTATTCGCTTTGTTCACAGTTATACCAATGTGGTTACTCCATGAGAGGTCCTTAGTTATTATAACACCGAGATCTTTAAATTTATCTACGTCTTTCAAGGGCTGTCCAAAGAAATAATTGGTCACTGACTTATCACGTGAATGTGTAATTCGCATAGATTCACATTTATCCGCGTTAAAACGTA